TACACTGTTGTGTTAGCCACCAGAGCGTGGCAGTGCTTACACTGTTGTGTTAGTTACCAGAACGTGGCAGTGCTTACACTGTTGTGTTAGCCACCAGAGCGTGGCAGTGCTTACACTGTTGTGTTAGCCACCAGAACGTGGCAGTGCTTACACTGTTGTGTTAATCGGTTATATGCCAAAGCAAGAGCTACACAATTAGAGAACAAGCCACTGTAATGTGCAAGTCTAAGGTGTAGCAGATGTGTTTAACACTGAATATCCTAAACTTGATGAAGATGACTGAAGACTACAGATGAAGAGACCACTTCAGTGAAGGATTTTATCCAGCCATTAAAGCTCAATTTATCAGAAGACTACATAATCCACTGTATGTGAAAATTCCTCAAAGCTATTATGTGAGCCATACAACGTAATGAGGATGTGAATCATTAACACAAATCTATGGGTGGTTTTTCAGATACCCATGAAAACTATCTGAACAAAGCCAGAAGTTAGTATAACTAATAGCATCGGAAAGATAATTTTAAAACTGTCAAAACCTTAGCACAACTTACAACAGACAATGAAATTGTTTCTTCACAATTAATATCTTTTTAATTTTCAATAAAACAAAATAAAAATAAGGCACAGTCTGTTCTCAGATTTGAAAATTAAAGTACTTTCATTGAATTTTACTTCTTAGTAATATGAGAAAACTGAGAAACAACATTACATATATTGTACCTGGAAATTACAGTTTATGTGTAATAAATTTCATAAATTACCACATATAACTTCTATTTATATATAGGTAGCTGAATAATACTACTGGTACTTATTAGTTTCTTTGAAAGAAAAATGACATGTAAATTCAGAAACCTTAAAACTAACCTCGAACATCCTTTCTGTTTAGACTTCCAGCCAACTGAACACCATTGTCAATTAATTTATCAATAATCATTTTTTCAGAGGCAGTCACCATCTGGTAAATATAAGAAATTTAAAACAATTTTACTTCTTTTCAGAACACTTACCTCACAGTTCACATAAGATATTTAAAACAAACTTATGATTAGTACACAATTAAAAATTCACAGACTTTCATGCCAGGAAATACCAGCTTTAGATGATTCATTTCACACAAATGTAGGTGAGACTCAATATATAATACTGAAACATCTATGGTGGTGGTCTGGAACTTACCTTGAAATTATTCTTTTTAACATAACCAATATTCACCAGTTAAAATACAATACTTTAACAGCACTGATATTATCTTGTAACATAACTTACATTCCCAAGCATTAAAAGTATATCTTGATATCTTTTGATGGATTGTTTAAGCAGAGTATTCATGATGAAACTTTGTAGAATGGACGGCAACTGCCTGTTGACTTGAAGACGAAAGGCGGAAGACTTTCGAAACGTGGTCCTCTACACTTGTGTCTCTATAACAGGCCGTTGTTGTCCATTCTACATAGCTTCAACCTTGATATCAACTTTTGCAACATAACTGAGTTCAATTCTCTTACAAAAGTTTGAGTTCTATGTAATCATCTCTAAGAAAACTAATACTGATTATTCATCAGTGTTTAAACTTTTACCTTGATGTCATCTTCTGTAACAAAGCCAACATGAACAGTCCACCAGGGTTCAATGGGGACATCTTCAACTGGTTTTAACGGTAACAGTTCTCTCACTGACTTTCTCCGTACACCAAAAAATTTCTAAGAAAATATAAACTAATTAGATTTTTGAAGAAAGATTAACACATTTCTTTTGTAGGTTTAATGTGAACCTTCAATATACATAACATTGTTCTAAAAGTCTTGAGTTTTGTTCTTCATTATGTTTTAACACATTTATATGTTCTTCTTAGATGTAAAATAACTTCAAATCATGTTCACCAACAAATGTACCATTACTATAAACTTATCTTATTTAATACATGTTATTAAATACAGCTTATCTCTTAGTCTTCAAACTGTAAGCAAGAACTAGTTTTTAGTTCAAGAAAACTTCTTTTTTTGAAACCATATTTTTCAATTCAACAGATTGAAATTGTACATAAATTGTAGATAATACATAATATATCACACTCTTCAAGTCATTATATACAACAATGTCAAAAATAAGACACAATATGTGCATAATCTGTGTCATATTTAAACTGTACTAGATAAATAGCTTCCTACACATACTAAAACATTATCATACGATCATAACTGTCGAAAGTATCCGGCTTCACATGGGTTATTAGGTACGTGTAAAAATTCAGGTTTCTAGGTTCTTTCCTCTTGGAGCTATGACAGTCACATACATACAGACACATCCTTTTATTATTATAGATAATTGATTCTCCTTCAGAAGTGTCGTAAACATAAAACCTGATCAAGTGACCATAATAAAAGTGTCACATGAAGCATGGCTGCCATGGGATCCCTTGAAAAATTAAAACAAAAAGGATCTTTCTTTCTTGTATAAATTAGAGTTGCTAATGTTATTCACTTCCCACAAAATTCTTCATATGAAGTTTTAAATAACTGAAGTTTAGAACACAGTATTTTGATAAGAAGACAAAACTGACATTTACCTTAGAGGATCGACACTGATTCATTAATTAGATATACTGATTTCTTGAGATTTACCTTAGAGGACCAACACTGATTCATTAATTAGATATACTGATTTCTTGAGATTTAC